GAGTTTCCAGCCACTTTGTTTGCCTTGCTTTGCTCAGTTCGGTTAGCAGTGCTGAGCCACATTCGATGGTATCGTCGCTAAAGGGATCCTCCGCATATAGCTTGTTATATCGTTCCATTAGGCTTTTAATGCCGTTTGCTACTCCGGGTATGTACTGCTGTCTGCAACCTCTGGGATGTGTTTCTTAGATATGCGCTTGACCAAGCCCACAAAAACATCGTAGTTGTTTGGAGTAGGTTCGATTGTATGAATTTTATTGTCGAGGGTTTCTGTGAAAGCATTCCAATTTGCCTTCTTAAAGTTAAAACGTCTTCTAAATGGGATTATTGGTGTTTTTATGGCGTTGTAAATGTTTATACCAATGGGGCGATGTTGAGTCTTTGGTATAGCATTGTAGACAACTTTTGTACACTGTTGCTCAATGTTGCCAGAGGCGAAACAAAGGTCCGGGTTGTAGCCTCGTTTCTATATCTTGCTATTAAAGGAGCAAGATTATTTTATTACTTTGGGGTCATGAATCAGTGATAGGCCGTTTGACACAGCCCATTGTTCCACAAGATCTCCATTTGAATCATTGTGGTCATATCCCCACCCACTATGATGACTGTTAAAATCGCCAATGACGAATTTTGTGTTTTTTGTCTGAAAGTTGTTTGTTTGGGAAAATCTGTATTCTTTTCTTGGTGGTTTGTATATAGAAGTCACTGTAAGTTTTCCAATTTCCACCGTGAGAGTTTCAATATCGTCCTGGATATTTTTTGCTACCGATGAAATAGCAAGGGAGGGCTTAGTGAAAATTGCACTTCCGTATTTATTATGGGGGGCTTCAATACTTAGGTTCATTCCAGTAACGTCCGGTCTGATCGAATTTTCATCTCTGTGTGCTTCCTGGATACACAGTATGTTGCAATTTGTTGTCTGACATAATTGGGAGAGTATGTCCTGCTTGTTTTTCGTGATTCCCTCGATATTAATGCTGATTATAGTCAAAGTTGGCTCTGAGAAGAGCCCTTTATAGTTTTGCATTGTCTTTGCCGTGATAATCACAGTGGTGATGATTCGGTGGTGGAAGGATCACCGCCACAATGCGTCTACAGATTTGTTTGGTAATATGAAATTTGACAAATTGCTGCGTGGAGGCTCCTTCTCTGCTCCCCAATCCGAAATAAAACTTCAGCCGAAATAAAACTGTTGTACATTCAAAATGCCTTATTTAAATTGTCGTTTACGTTATCACTTTCATCACTAGTGGAGTTATACATATTTTAGTCTTTATGGAACCTTTTGATTTTTCACTGTTAGTTTCTTATTTTGTTTAAATTAGAAGGAATGGAGATAAACGCATTAAAATAACTTTCTAAACAATTTCTCAAAGTATTTGATCTTGATAATAACTAACCGTGTGTCTGCAAGAAAACGTTTCGAAGTTCAGAAGCTAAAATTCTTTTGTAGGACTTTGACTCTGACTGAAAAATGCTTTTGCTCTAATAATAAATTCCGGTTTTCAAAATAATTCACAATAATCTTATTTGATTCTCAAAATGGTTTTTGAGTTGCAGTCAGGTTTTTTTTCACAGGTTTCCAATGGGGCGGACTTCATTATCACACAAGTCAGCTTCGATTACGATTGCTTGGAAGCATTCGCCGATAACTGTAAAAAGCACGATATAAATGTACCAATTGTGCCCGGATTCCTCATTATAAAATCATATAAATCTGTGATGGATATGCAAGCGCATTGTAACCTGAAAGTGCCGGGAAAAATTCTCAGCGATTTGCAAATGTACAAAAGCGATGTTAAAGCGATTGAAAAATATCTTGTGGATTTGATTGCGGATTTAATAGCAAAATGCAAAAAGAACTCGAGCGTTTTCGCCGGAGTGCATATCTTTTCAATGAATGATATTGTCCAGGTTCAGAAGGTCTTATCTAAGACAAAAGTTTAAACTTTATTAATACAAATCCTTAATAAACCCGACTTTTTGCTCTGGTTCTACTTTGTATTTGTATGGGTCCAGTGGCGCACAGGCGATCCGAAGCTAGTTATACCTGATATAAGTTAAAGGTTTCACCCTTCGGAGTTTGATCTGCAAAAGAAACAGAACCATTTTAGTACCTGAAGGGTAAACCTACGAAAATGTATTATAATTAATTGTTGTTGCATTGTGAACAGATACCTAAACATATCGCTCTGGTATATCTTATAAAAACGTAAATTATCAATATTATCTGTCAGTTGCTGATAATAAAGAAAAATCTGACAGACTGAAATAAACGAAAACAAAAACAGGACTTGGCTTTTTTGCATAATTACCTTGATTCCTTCCTACCACTATACAGGGTGATCCAATACTAAGTTCCATTTACGGTCAAAAATAAGACAAACATTTTACAGTGTGTTAAAATTTAACATTTTGCATTCAGCTAATCAGATATTTATTTCGAATTAGAGCGAATTATTTATTAGGACCTGGATCTTTAATGTTTTTTCACAAAAAAGGTTAATGATTTTTTCACAAAGTTTTTGTTTTAGTTGAAGGTTTGCCATTTTGGAATATGGATCGTTTAACTGTCGAAGAACGCGTAAAATCTGCTATATCAACGTTTAGGGCTTTACGAGCAGGTTACGGTCGACATAATCGACCCACAGAGCAAACAATTTCGAACACAGTAAAAAAATTTGAAGAGACTGGATCGGTTACTGATATTGTAAGGCTTGTGCCAATCGCAACATTTGTTCAGCTGAAAATATCGTCTTACGGCTCATTATGTGGCGAATTTTGCTATTGGATTTGAAGCTCCCTCCGTACAAAGTACAATTGACTCAAGAACTTAAGCCTTAAGACCATGGCAACGCAGAACTTACGCAAATTGGATGATTGAACAACAAGCTTTTGATGATGATTTTTCGAACCGAATTTTCTTGCGAGAGCGATGAGGCACATTTTTCGCTCGGTGGTTGTGTGAATAAACAGAACAGCCGTATATGGGGCTCTCAAAATCCTCAGGTGATCGCAGAAAGGCCTTTGCATCCTGAAAAGTGACCGTATGGTGTGCATTATGGTCCAGGGGTGTTATTGGCCCGTATTTCTTTGAAAACGATCAAGGAAGAGCCATAACAGTCAATTCTGAACGCTATGGACGCATGTTAACCGATTATTTTTGGAGAGAAATTGAAGATTATGATCTGGAAGACATGTGGTCCCGCAGGATGGGGCAACGAGTCACACAACACTGGCAGATAGAGCCCTATTGCAAGAAAAGTTTCCAGGTCGCGTACTTTCGAGATTGAGTGATTGGTCAATTGGCCCGCAAGATCCTGCGACTTAACACCGTTAGATTTTTTTTGTGGGGCTATTCGAAAGATCGTGTTTACGCCAACAATCCTGAAACTCTTGAGCAACTGAAAGCCAATATCCGTGAAGTTATGACCGAGATATTACCGGTAATGTGCGGAAGTCATTCAACATTACCTCAAAAGGATTGAGACCTGTAGGATGTCCCGTGGAGGACATTTAAATGATATTGTTTTTCACGTATAATGGCAAGGTTTAATCTTTATATTGAATTAAAATTTTTGTCTCTATCTGAATATTTTGTGTGTTTTTTTTACTTTACTTTCCCAAGCATAAAATTGATAACCTGTATTTTTCACACAAATTACGTTATTAACGCTTGATCTTGATAGAATTTATATTGTTGAGTCCAAGTTTAATAAGTGTGTTTCTGTGCTGCGCTGTTTCTCACTCTTCTTAATGTAAATGCCTTTGAATATAAAACTAACTTAAAAACTAAAAAAAAACTGTTTCTCTGTTTACGATGGAATACGAACACAATATTGATTCAAATTTGGTTTTATATATAATACATAGTTATAGTTAATAAGTTAAATTTACGTAAATTTTTAAAGTAAAAAATTAAAAGTACCTAACCATATAGACTGAAGAATTTAATATAAGTTTATGTTACATTATGGAAGTATCAGACTATGAAGGCTTTCACGGCCGGTCAGATTACATTTAGGAATGTTTTCCGGGCTTTCTTCCGAGAAATTCCGATAGACCACGGCTTCAAAGCCCGGAAAACATTCCTAAATGTGTTATGGAAGTACTTGTAATAATTCAAAATTCCTTAATATATTTAATATATTGTAATTGTGGTTTGTTTTTATTTAGCCTTTCCCCGCCACCTGTTTTTAAACTAATCAGATTTTTAAATTCAATGGTCTACAATTAAATTAGACGCTAGATAATTACATTTCACATTCATATTAGTCCAATTTAAGGATGTGTATAATCTCGTCAAGCTTCATTAATTCACTACAACAGATTAACCTATGTTGATTCCATTTTTTATTAAATTTATTATCAGTGTATACTATATTTTTCACATTTTATCATATTCTAATGCCCTACACCACTGCCAAAGCGGCCGACTGGTTGGCCATATCCAGCCTCCATTCCGGTCGCACTGATTTGAGCGTAGACTCCTTCCTGTTAGTTTTATATTCAAAGGTAAATGCAGTTCACAAAGGTTCAGTGCACTTTTGTAATATGTATAGATAAAATTAAAAAAAGTTAAACAATACGATTTCTATAAAACTTTCGCTTTATTTTTATAAAACTCACTCAATCACTCATTAATTGAAATTGACTTCGTAATTGTACTCTTTTATACAGTTTACTACGGTAATCAAACTGATGAATAGTTTAAATTATTTCATTGCATCAGAGTAACGATTAGTAAAAACTCTGGCTGGTGCTAATTATTATTCCAGCCAGTTATGTAGATAATAAAATTACACTCGTTTACACCCTACAACTCACAAACTTTTCAATCCTTAATGCAGTCTTCTGGATTGATTTTCCCTGCTAATTGAGTTTTAATTCGATCTGAAATACTTGGATAACCGAGAAAAATTCAAACTAATAATATGCATCAGCAGATTAGGTGTAAAAAACCTCCAGGCCTAAAGAAAAAGTTATTATTTGATAACAAACAGCTTAAAGCTTGACGGTTAGCACCATCAATTTTAATAAACATTCTAGTTAAAAAAATACTTTATAATTGAATAAATTTAGCTAGCAGAAGATTGGCACTTTTTGCTGCAAAAGCAAAAGTTGCATCTCCAGTTGTTCAGCGTCCAAAAAATGTAAAATTGGGCAGCCCCAAGGGCATTTTACGTTGAAAAATTGCCAAACATTTCGAACCGATTCAACTCCTTTATTCTGGGACCTTTGAATATAAAATACCTATTAAAATATATTCAGAATTGGATTGAATAATATAGGTTCCATAATCTGTGGATTGAATAATCAAATAGTTTGGTTGTGGTTTGAAAATTGGGAATCTTGTTCGTTCTGCATGGTTTGCCCTCCAACGAAGAGCTACGAAATCTGGTAAATTACACACCTGAAGACCTGGGACCCAGGAAAAAAGGCCCAGGCACCAACTAGCCCAATAGGGCAACACATGGGGGGCTCATAGGGGAGGCTCACTCATATTGCCATGCGCGTACCCATGTTTTTGGGAGCGCAGACCCGCCATCTGTGACTAGTTGGTCCAAGATAAATTGAATGAAGAGACAATTTTACAGTTTCCACTTAATGGCATAAAAGAGACAATCTTATAGTTTCCACTTAAGGGCATAGATGATATGACATGACAGCGCATTTATAAAACGTGTGGATTTGCTCGTCTTTATCTATGGGGCACAGGTAGCTAACGGCGTAAGCTGTAAGTATGGTTATGTAGAGTTAGTAGTAATCACAGATCACAGCGGTACTCTGTAATCTGTGGTAGCAATTAGCATGCTCAGAGTAGTAAGGTGTAAATTAATAAGATGCCCATGCTAACAAGCAGCTAGCATGGATAGAACGCGATGCTATGGCATACGGATGCCGGAGCTGACAAATTCTTAGAGAGGACTACAAGTTTTAAAGGATAACTCCCGAAAACTCGTAGTACAAAAAAAAGGGGGTTTTTTAGTTGGTAAGAATCCAAGACTACCCAGGGTTCGGAACACTGGGTGTCTTTGCGAATATTTTTATTCCTCCAGCCGCCGGGCAAACCAAAAAAAAAAAAAAAATGCATGGTTTGCGGTCATGTACGAGTAAAAGTTGGCAATGCCGCTAAGGTCCAACATTCGAGGTGACTAAAATCACAATTCACTATTTTATTTATTGAAGAAACATGCGATAAGATCGTAAATAAATTTTCTGCTAACAGTATTTAAAACGCTAAAAGATAGCGTCCAAGGCTGTTTCTGTTGTTATTTTCAAATTGACAATTTAATCATTGGTTTTTGTTGGCAAATTTATTATTATTTATCTTTCAATGTCTTCACCTCGGTTGCAATTAAAATTATCACTGCTGTTGAAGTGCCCAATGAGGTGATTATGTTCATGCATAATTCAACTTTATATCATACGATTCATACGTGTGAAAAACGGTATACAGTACACAGCAATTTTTAACCTTAGTTTACCCTTATAAGCCTTGTTCTATGGTTTACGTACGGTACGCCTGTGATAAGTATTACTAGAATAAATTGATCGTCTGTTCAAATGGACATCAAAGAAATCGTGATAGAAGCCCCATGGGGGAAAATAGCGGGTAAGTGTTACCCAAAGACAAATGGAAATAATGGAAAATTAACACTGTTAAGTTCTATTGCCATACAAAGGCAAAATTGGAATATGTGTAAAAAATATGAGAGCACTATAGATATTATACAGTGTAAGCGAATAAAAAGTATAGAATTCTTGATTTAAATAGATAGATAGATAATAGAATTCCGATAGACTGAATCAAAGAAACGAAAAACAGAGACCACAAAGTGTGACAAATAAAAAACTATGAAGACATTTACTCGCGTGCGCTGTTGTCGATTCTACTCAAAAAATGGTATCAGTAACAGTACAGTTTTGTTTTATGTAACGTTCAAGTAGGTCATTTCCCAGATAAAGTTGCGACATTTTCTTTCTGTTAAAAGTGCCCAGCGTACAATCAGTAAAGGAAAAATTAATCTCAAACTCACCGCCAGGGTTGCCAGGTCCGAAAATCGAGTTTCGGTAGATAAGCTCGACACTTTTCGGTAGAAAATCGGTACTCATTTTTTTTTCATTATTAAGGGCCAGAACTGGTTGGGTAGTCCAAAACCTCACCAAAAAAAAGGCTCCATAAAATCGCGCGTTTTTCAAAACTTGAATTTTTAAACTTACAGGAATACTAAAATAAGCATGAGTCAGTAAAGATGAAATTGTGCTCGTTTTTAGCTTATTTCTCCACTTAGTTTTCATTAGATTAACCTGTGAAAATATCCGTTCAACATTGGCTGATGAGTGAGGTAGAATAAGCATCACCTCCATATTTCAATATTTGTACTTGGCTCCAAAACTCTTCAATATTTCCAGAAATTTTTTAAATTTCTTCAATATTTCGCAACAGACGTCATTCTGTGTCCAGACCTTGTAATTCACAATCAGCAGAGACAAGACTTGTCTCTGCTATCAGTTATTAAATTTGGCAATATCATTGCAACATCAGAAATAGATTGTAGGGAACCTGATTTCACTATCGCAGGATCCATAACACATAATTTTATCATATTTATGATTTATATGGCGGGCTTGATTCATTTTATGTTTGAAAAAGAACTCTAAWATACGAGGTGTGCTAAAATAAAATGTCTGCTATYACCAACGTACTTTTGATCATGAATGGAAATATGTTATATTATTTTAAGTAATCSACGGATAATTTTTTAAATTTTATTTGTTAYTTTTCGGTAGAAATCTGCATGGTATCGGTAGATCGGTAGGTTCCTTGCCAGGTCTACCGAAAAATCGGTAGACCTGGCATCTCTGCTCACCGGAAAAACAACTGATAAATGTTTAATTTGAAGCAAAAACCATCTTAACTGAATCTCTGTAAAGGTAAAACAAAACTGAACTAACAACAGATAAGTGGCAACGGAGCATTTCGCAAGATTGTTCCTAATCTAACTAGGTACCTATTGACGAAATGTGGAAAAACGAAGGTCAATATCTAAACTCGACTGGACACGCTTTTAAACATTTACAAAATCCTCAATATCAGGAAATCTTCAAAAACACAGTGAGCTTAACTGGAGCATTATTGTCCATTTAATCACAGATTACAGAGGTCACTCTGTAATCTGTGCATTTAATCAACGCTATTTGGTCGCAAGTAGACACGATAGTGCGCTCTTGCGTTCAAAGTATGGTGGTGCGTTCCAAATTTTTAAAAGCTTTTGCACTTAATTAACTACCTATTAAAAAGTACCCATTTTTTTCACTTTAAAAAAGGGGGAAACTTAATTACATAGACGAACAAACTTATTAAAATATTTTCTTACGAAAACTGCAAAATCGTCTCAATTGGYCCCGTTTTTCSGCAATAAATGTTTTTATTAGAATAGGGGAGCATTTGATCTGCGAATTCTGCGGCAGAAAATTACGCAATTTTATTAAACGGGCTGAAATTGAGCTTGACGTATACGAAAATTTAGTTTTTTTWWAATCATTCGCAATCAAACGACTCAAATTCTTTCAGCAATGCAGCAGTCCCKTGTTCTTTTGCCAAGGAGCATCAACTTTGCTATTTCAAATGCGACACCCTGTACAAGTTTCGATTCGCAATTGCTTTCTGAACATTTTTGTCTCTTATCTTCCGATACCAAAGAACTTTATTTTCATGTTTAATTAACATTTGCCTGAATGCGTATGAACCCCAAATACCGCAGTTATTAGCATTAAATTAATTACTCGAAACTTGTAAAAAATTGGCCTACCTACACCATGGATGTATTCTTGGCAAAAATTTGACATTTTTGCTTCTAACTTTGAAACTTTTGAGAGGCGAAGCTTAATTAACTTAAAGCTCTTAATTTTCTTCGCTTTAAAATATCGTTTAACAAATAATTTTTCGAAAAGGTTCTCAAAACAGGCGCGAATTTTTGTCGTTTTTAGCCTAAATCGCTGAAATGAAATGAGCGACCTAATATGCTTTGTGGTGGATTAGCCGGGTGTAAAAGTTTAATGTAAATTTTGTTTCGTATTTTTTTTCAAATTGAATGGAGATGTTTCAACGCGATTTTGTAGTGGTTTAAATTTACCCATTTTCAGGTGCTAGTATTTGAATACACTCGGTGATGAATGAATCGGTCAAATTTGGAAACAATCGAACATTTTTGGCGCTTTAAAACAGCAAATTTCCTTTCACCACGTCTCATCGCATTCTCCGACTTTATCCCAGCACACAAACAGACTTTCCTTCACCCAAACCCAAACTGGGGAAAAATCGTTACTGTTTGGTCTTTTTTCGCCGTTAAATGACCAAAAATAAATCTGCGAAAGTGTAATACAACAGTGCTGTGAACACTGGCCGCAGAAAAATCACGTCGAAATAGTCTTCAGTTAAATCTAGCTCTAATAGACCTTTCTGGATGCCAATAAGGAAAACTTTGCACTTTTCCAGTTAAACTATGGGGATCTGAGGCTGACAAAGCGATCCTCACCACACACGGAATAATGGACAACGCGGGAAGTTTTGACGATTTAATTCCGCTTCTACCAAAATACTTTTACATTTGCATGGACCTGCCTGGTCATGGCAAATCCGACCCATTGCCACCAATACTTCCCATCCACTCTGCGGACTATCTGCTGGCAATAAAGGTGGTTGTCGATTACTTCCAAAGGGACAAATACATTTATATGGGACACAGTTATGGGGGACAAATGGGTATGCTGTTCTCGCGCTTGTATCCTCATCTAATCGAGAAGCTAATTTTACTGGATACATTGCATTTTGTGACGAAACCAGCTGATGCTTTTAAATCCGTAATGATAACGGCGATTGAGGAAACGCTGGAGTTGGACAGAAAGACCAAAACGAGATTGCCGCCTCAGTATACTTATGAGGAAGCAGTCCAGAAAGTTATGCAAGTAAGGCCCACTAATATTAATCGATGGTTAAATGTTGGCTTTCGGTAGGACACCGTAGCACTAATTCTGATAACTCCTTTTAGGCCCGACGGAGTCCGATATCAGAAAGAGCAGCGAAAAATCTACTGAAGCGATCGTTGAAGAAAGTGGGCGAAGATAAGTTTGAATTGACTATAGATCAACGACTGAAATTTGTGTTAAGCCCACTGCATGATAATAGATATGCAATTGAAGTATTAAAAAGCGCTCCATTGCAATGTCCAGTCCTTATTATTTTAGGTGAGGACAGTAAAATCTTACGGAGTTTTTTACTACCCGTTTTAGAGCACTTAAAGCGGCAAAAATGCGTCAAAATAGTGTACGTGAAAGGAGATCATGATGTGCATCAAGTGACCCCCGAGAGAGTGGCACCCTTTGTTTGTGAGTTTCTTAATTACAACAAAAGCAAATTGTAACATCGAAATCAGGAATAAAAACTTTTAAATGACATATCCAGATATTTGTGAACAAAAAAACGCATACGTGCAGGTGATTTTTACATTCTTAAATGCTGAAATTTTACAAAAAGAAAAAACTTTCTACATATTGTCCACTATACTGCACATAATTCGGTCCCTAATATCACATGGGTCACAATTGGAGTTACTATCATCCATTTTATCATGTTTCGTTATCAGATCGACGTCGGCCATGATTTTCGAATCCAGGTCCATCGGCTCCGGCAGATCTCTAACTGCTTGTTGCAGAATTTCCTTTACTTTATCAAGATGTTTTTGGAACCTAAATGAGCATTGTTCATGTTAATTCGACTAGATCAACTACTGAATGCCGTATGAAAAAATACACTAAGGATGTACTGAAATAGTTGTTAGAGCAACTAGAGAAATGATGGTGTGGATTTAGATAATTCTAGGGGGCTTAAGCGATGAGGAAAATCAAAACTTGAAAGCCAATTCGTCGTTTTTTGAGTAAAAGTATTTGCTTTGCAATATATAAACGTGTATAAACAAATAAATTGGCGAAAAATGATTGTACTCACAAAAATGCTTCAAAATAGTGTTAGTAGATCCGGCTTCGGTCTGGATTGTCTTTTTGTTAATTACGCAACTTTAACTGATGGAAACAACAACGGAAACTGATGAATAAAATTGTTATTTCTCTCCGCGCAAGCGAGCCCAAGTTAGTCGAAAATCTAATAGGCACATTTTGTTAGCTACCTGGTATCAATCGAGAAAAACACTTACTTTATCGCCAGCAGAATGTTTAATGAATATGAAACCGAATGTTGCATAAATAATTTATTAATTTATATTTTTGAGACAGATAGAGGAAAATAAATATTGTTATTTAGCTGCCTGGTGTTGATTGTTAACAAATTATTATATTATTAATTTAAAAACAGCCGCGCCTTTATATTTAATTTAATAAAATATAAAAATATCTATACCGGGTGTCCCGTAAACACGTGATCAAAAGGATACTGCGATATTCCTTCCATCAAAAGAAGACGATCTGACCAACTTATATTAACAAAAAATGTCTGGCTCCTCTGCTATTGATGGTCAAAGTTCTTCAAATAATGTTTCTTTTTTGAAATATTGGGAGAATAGTAAGATATATTTTGGTGAAACTCGCTGTGAATGAGTTCTTATGTAAGACTCATATTTTGATGAAATAATCGAGTTCAGCCGTTTTAGGCAATTGATAGTCAAAGTTCTTCAAAAAAAATGATCTTTTGTAAAATATCGGGAGAATGGTACGACGTATTTTAGTGAAACTCGATGTGAATTTGTTCGTATATAAGACTAATATTTTGATAAAACAGTCGAGTTTATCCGTTTTGGACAAGTGGTGAATTCTTGAGTGTCGTGGTACAAAAACTACCAGAACTTTTTATTTATTTGGCGAGGGCGTTGATGCATTAATCATTTATCCATAATTTTGTGCTCTTTGTAAAATGTTCATAATTTTTGCAGAAAAAAATTCTTGCCACTTAACAATGTTAGACATTAATTGCAAATGTCGTGATACGAGGCATAAATTAATTGTCAACCACTCTCACAAACTCTTTTCGAATGAAGAAGTGACCGACATGGTCAAAGTATTAGAGCGTACGCGTTTACGCGGCGCATATTTGCCGTTAATTGTCTAGCATTGTTAAGTGGCGAGAAAACAGACATATTTTCCGCAAAAACTATGAATGCTACAAGATTTTACAAAGAGCACAAAATTGTGAATAAATGATTAGTGTTTCATCCAAAAAAAAAATGAGTTGATTCCATCCACCAAATAAAACGTTCTGGTAGTTTTTGTACAACGACACTTTTCCAAAAGGGATTTCACTTCTTTCCCAAAACGGCTGAACTCGATTGTTTCATCAAAATATGCGTCTTACATAAGAACAAATTCACAGTGAGTTTCATCAAAATACATCGTACCATTCGCCCGATATTTCAAAAAAGATAATTTTTTGAAGAACTGACCATCAATAGAAGAGAAGCCAGACATTTTTTGTTAATAAAAGTTAGGTCAGATCGCCTTCTTTTGATCCAAATAATATCGCAGTACCCTTTTGATCATGTGCTTACGGGACACCCTGTATATATAAAAATGATGAATGTGTCTCTTTACCTGTCCTTAAAAATTCCAAATTTAACCATGATCGCACCGAGCTACAAGGCTGACATTCTGTAGGTTTCTTAGTTTACTGGAGAGTAACTTCCTGACAAAATTTCGACTTCCTAACTTTTTTGAGTTTTTGAGCTACAATTTACATGTAAGTCTATGGGAAACATAACTGCAGGTCAACGTGGGCAACGCCACGGGTCGCTCCGCTAGTTCTAAATATTTACTTGTAAAGGTCAAATATATGGGACAAAATGGGTTTCAAAGAACAAGACTTTGTTGGCGATCCCTGACAAATATCTACCTGTTAGTTGTCTCAATCCTTTGCCTTTTTTGTAGCTCCATCATCACCCGCAGCGTTTCTCTAGCTTGATGGGGACGAAATTCGTTTAGTAAATGGTGTATATGGATAAACAGTAAACTTAGGTCGTCAACCTTTTCAGTTCGTTTAGGAGAATCTGGGCAATTCACTAACAGATCCAGCAAATCTAAGAAATTTGCTAACAATGACAGATTCAGCTTTTTCAGTTCTCGTCGCCTATCAAAGTGTTGGGGGTATAGTCTTTTTATTCCCTAAAACACACGTGGAATTGTACGTACAACATAAACCTTATGGTTTAACGTATAGCTCTTTACCTGACTTTCCAAAGGTCGTATAATGCTTTCCTCGGTGTTAAAAGTATTGCCAAACATGTGATATGTGTCTTGTATTGGAGGAGGCGGCTTGGGGGCTCGGCCCCTACGAATCATTTCGTCTGTGTACTGACTTACATATTGCATAGGGGGCAAGGGCAAGGAACTAACTTGAACTGCGTCGGACGACATAATTACTGAACATTTATGCTCGAACCCTACAAGCAAAGGTACTGCAGCAAGCAATTAATAACTGCTTTATCTATGAACTTTCTCTCTGCTGTCTAACCTAAAAAGTGTTGTTTTGATGTGCTGTCGTGTCTTGCAGCGAGGTTGCCAACCTAAGTTAACTGTTTACAACACCACAATATTGAAGAGAGAAAAAGTATTAGTCGTGTCTCTTTTTAGATGCATAAATAAACATGTTTTTAGAAATGCTGCCAGTAAAAAATAAAATGTTTATTTACAGAAACTTAATCTAAAAATTAAATTCGGAATTCGACACTCGAAAGAATTATTCCGGAAAAAAATATAAAATTGGTCTTAAAAACGTAATATTTGTTGCATTATTGCAATACATATTTGTATAATGTAATAAATGTGTATCTAAAAAAAATAAACGCATTTGAAAACACAATAATGCCCGACGTGTTTGAACCGAACTAGAAAACTAGTTTTCATATACAGGGTGATCACTGGTAAAATATTAGAAACTAAAATGTTATCTAAAGTTTTTAACATTACTATCTTAAACTCGAAAATATTGTTTCTGGTATTTCTTCGTGCTTCCATCAATGTATTCATTTAAGTTTGAGTTTAATAAAAACCACACTTACGTGCTTTTTACTTAAGTTATCCTCTAAAATGCTTTGATGCGTAAACGTAAAACTGAAAAACTTTCTGGAAGGACATGCAAAAATAACCGTTTCCGTCCCAAATAACGTTAACTTGAGAGGTTAAAATAATAAACCATTTCTTATACATAAAAGCTAGTGTTTCCTAAAAAACAGTTATATTTTATTTAAATTATAACAAAATTTAGTCGTCGTACACAGGAGTTTTACCTACATATCGCCTGAACTTTTTTGTCTTCAATATTTCATAAATATTTAAAATCAAATTACTGAATTTCCAAGAATCAGCAAAGATCATAAGAAGCAAAAATCATCTTATTTCATCTCGCTCCGATATGCGGCTTTCCATAAAAATACGTTTTCATATCGCCCAATGTATATAAAATTCTATAAGGTTCCCAAAATGTTCCCTCATTTATGAATTTCTGTCTTACAATTATATTTCTTTTGCCTGTAAAGTTGGTCGTACCTAAATGCCATTCATGAGGTCTATTGGGCACTTAAAATTATTATAAACAATAAACGGTTATTTGCTGATTTAAGAAATTTTTGCGAAATATTAAAAACAAACTTCCAATTCCAATTCTCATCCAAATTTTTTATCGACGAAAATTTCTCATTTTCAGCCTTAGATTTGGGCTTCCTGAATATTTTCTCAAAAACATTAAATTATTAAATACAACGGTTAATTGTGTTAAAAGTACTCCTTGATTTGTCAATAAACCACATTGTTTAATAAATTTTCTATTTGCAAAAATGTATTACTATGTATACACATGGAATTGGATTCACTTTGGAAAAAGTACATATTCTGTGCTTTTCAGTAACAGTTTGCTTTAAGGATAGTCAAATCGACAAAAATTACAGCAAAATATTCACAATTTTCGTTCAGTAGTGCCAAATAAAATAAAATATCGTTAAAGCATAAGAAAATGGACAAGTTACCATTAATAAAAATTAAAAAATTTAATGTAATTTTTTTTCTATATTTTAGAGCGTTTGAGGCATTTAAGATATATCAGAATGTTTTTTCTTCTAAATGCAATACTTCGTTCCCTAATATAAAAATGTTTGATCAATATCGACGACAATCACTGAACAATACACTCGTGTATCCAAGAGAATAAACTAAACCAAAAAAACCCATTCAACAAACAGTTTGGATTGACAAAAGTTTAGGACTAGGTAATTTATTCCAGCCTTGTTCATATCACTGAAATTACACTGACCATTTTCATTGCCGAAGCATCCAAATGGCGATTTTTTCACCGTTAATTAGTAAGACAGTGTTCCTAAACAAAACCATTAACTTGTAAAAAATTGAACAAATAAACCTTGAATCATCAGCATTGCTGCACTCGAAAACTAATGGCAAGCTTCCCACCGTCTACTCAGACAAGCAGGATTCCGTGGAAACTTGGTAATCCACGTCCCAAATGACTATCGACAAACTAGTTTTTCCTCGAGATATCTGGTTTTAAATCCTTTAAGTAAACAGGAGTTTCTGTAATTCGAGCCAGTATTTTTCTGTGTATCTCCCGAAGCGCGTTTCCTGTGTAAACAGTAGGTCTATTAGGGACCGAATTGTTGTGCAGCATCGCATATTCTTGATAAAACCTGGCAAAATGACAAGGATTTTTCGAAAATTCGTTCACGTATTTTATAAAAGTAACAAAACAAAATTAATGATAAAACTTTTTTTTTCTATATTGGAATACCCGAATATTCCAATACTCGAGTATTCAAATACTCGAATATTCGTATATTCAAATACTCGAATATTCGTATATTCAAATACGCGAATATTCGAATATTCAAACACCCGAGTATTCAAATACTCAAATATTCGAATACTCAAATATTCGTTACATATTGGTGGAGTATTCGAATAAACCACTAAACGAGTATTCGAATTTCAGATTTAGAAAAATTCCGAGCACTAGTAAGAAGTATTTCAGAGAAAAAATATTAACAGAAGCTCGTAGAAATAAGTGGGAATGTGAGCTGAAAAATGAAGTGTTTTAATTGTCGATTGGTATTTTAGACTTTTTAAATTCCAGCTGGTTTGCTGGTTTCTTTACCGTGATCAGACAACTTGGCTCAACTCCGACAACTTGACTCAAGCTCAATGAGCTCAATCAATCAATTGGCTCAGTAGATTTTGTTGATGGAGCACAATAGCCTTCAAAATGGATTTATTTGAGAGGACTAAATAAGTTTTACAAATGTGTAAAATCAATTTTTTGGGGAAATCCGGCAATATTATAATTGGAAGCAGATGTTCCATCAATTATTCCTCTAAACCATCAATAAGTGTCCGGTTTTTACCGACATTATATTTATGAAATACTTAATAACTTGATTTTTGATACATCCTCCCAAGTTTTTTAGTAAAAGTAAAACATAAAAATATTAAATAAAAAAAAAATCGACGGGGCCAACACGAGTTCCACAAACCAAATTTAAACAATGTTATTTGCGCAACTGTAATTTTCAATAATTAATTAACTTAAATTATTTCATGTAAATAAACTGGAAACATTTGTTCAAAATTTAACAGCAATTTGTTTTATTAAACATTGTTGTAATAGAACAATTAATGGTTTTTAATTGGTGAAAAAGACGGTGATTTGATACAAAAATTATTTTCTTTTAGTATGAAAATACCATAAGCACCGCATTAGAAAACTGACTTACTTACGGGATGTACGTTTAACTTTACCGTACTCAAAAGTCGATGCTTAATAATTAAAAGCTTGATCGAAACAAAAGAGTATAATAAAAATGGAATTTCTAAAGTTCGTAGGTGATCGTCGGTATCAGTGAAAAGAACAGAGGCGGATTGATTGATACAAGGGAGATTAAAGATTTAATTAAAATCGTTAAATAAAACCAATTAAAAACAAGCCTTCCAGGAAAGTTGCCGTCAATCAAGTGCAATGACTAATTAAGTAAAAAAGTTTGGGAACTTTGCCTCCCGGCAAGTGTCCTCCTCCACCACCAAGTATCCTTGCAAAAACACATTTTCGGGTAAATTCCCATTTTAGCAGCAGTTTGACGATTTAAAAGTTCATCCTTCGCTTGCACACACACACACACACACAGAAACTGGCCATAATGAGCTTTGTAAAATACGACTGGAAGCATCCACAAGACGAAGAAAACCGGCAATAATTTTATGGCGACGATATCTCAAGTCCGTTGCTGAACATTGTATCGGTATACAGATATAAATAAAACGACAATCGTGATAAATTACTCACTTACCCGCTTTCGGAGATCATACATTGGCACTTACGTTATCCATATATCAACCAAAGTCGCTAAAATGGCTGAGGAAGATCAAATTAAGTATTTTACCATCGAGGAAGTGAAAATTTATAATGGAAAAGACGATAGTCGTGTGTGGTTCATCTACAAGGACATTGTGTATGATGTGACTGATTACTTGGATGATGTAAGTGCTTTTACTTTCCAAAGTAATCATCAAAGTAATTTTACTTTCTAACATATTTCGGTTATTTGCATTCTGTTTAAGTTTCGATCAATCTTTTTCCCCCTTTCCCTCATTATTGAATTTTTTATTCTTCAAACCATTAAGTCGAATTCCAAGTCGGGTTTCAAAACACATTAATATCGAATATTTCATTTACAAAGTATTGAAATAAAAATGGTAATATATATATATATATACCCGATAGATTAGACATTTATGTATGATGATGATTTAACTTACTTAAGACTCTACTTCTATTTTTTGAATGTGAATTCTATTTAATTAAACATTTTTTCCTATGCCAATGAGGATATTAATCAGGACATATTCCTCATTTCAGTTTGGTCCACTATTAAGAAACTGTAATTTTTTCTTTTATCTTCAGTGCGAAATGCTATTCATAACATAAGCTTTTGTGACAACATATTTTACAAAACACTTGAGGGACTTGATGAGCATTTTGTGTAATTTTGCGGAAAATTATAGTTATTTTTTTGTGTCTTCTATATGTCCAAAAGTCAGCCATTTGAAAACGATTCAAAATAACTATGGAAAAAACAAGCACCACATCAAGGGAAAATACGTTTCAATGCATGTTATTTATTTCATTCGCAGAATCCCAAAAGTGGATTAGATTTGACCTGTAGATCACAGCTAAGAAGTTGTAATAAAAATATACATAAAAAAGGAACGATTGCTTCATTCGATTATGATTATCGGTCTTTGATTTAAATTAATCAACCAATAATTTTGTTTTAATAAAAAACTAATAATAATAACGGAAAATCCTTGCAGTTTCCGTTATTATTTTGATAAAATAAAAGTGCATATATCTTCAATCGTATTCCAGAGTTTTTAGTGCAACTCCTCTATACGATACAAGAGTTTAAATTTATTTGGAAAAGAGTCTTTTTTTAAACCGAAACTTGCGTTTTTTTACAAATTTCCTCATTTAAAAGGTATTGTTTTGCAAATCTTACGTCTGTCTCGCTTCTGGTTTTTCCGCGGAGCTGGTAATTCTTGAAAACATCTGGTACTCAAACCTGGATTTTCCGTGGTTCGAACTAAAGGATGGCTTTTCTAGAAACATTTTTTAGGACAAAAACACTTGTCTCTTTTTTGTTGCAGCTTGCCGCTACGTTTTTCATAAATCGAAAAAAACATTGTTAAAGAAAATTATATTCCCAAATAACGCAGTTTCTTCATCATCTGCAGATCATTTGCTATCGTCTTCGAAACATGAATGTTCTCCAGTATCTCTTAAATTCATGCATTGAACAACAATATAGTCAATTTCCATTGGGTCACGCGCAGCATATATTATCTACTGGATTTCCCCTTGTTTTTTTAAGCCTCCATTTAGCATGAACAACATAAGAAAGATAAAACACATTTTAATACAGTTGGGTAATTCCAGATGAATGCACGCAACCTAGATACAATCACTTGCATGGCCGATTTGTGTTACAAATAAATGTAAATACAATGTTTGTTGTTTAATGCTCATTGTCGATTTCGACAGGGATTTTTCATGGTGATTCGCTAGAAGCATAAACATGTGATCAAAACTAGTTTTCAGCATTTTCTTAAATTAATTATATTTCCGTGCGTTTATTTAAGAAGAAATATAAAAATATAAACATCAAATTTTTCGGAGATAGCAAGGCAACTGTGAAATTATAACTTTATTATTTAATTGTATAGCTGAAAGTGTTGATCATACACTAAACATCTGGACACTAATTGTGACACTAAACAATGGCTCTTACAGAGCTTGAACTAAAAAAAATACTCTTATAAGTGCTAAAGTCGACTATCGGTGCAACAGTTTCGAAAAAACACTTTTTAACTATAAGCAAAAATAATAATTCTGGAAATCCAGAAAGATGAATTTAAATCGCACTGAATCCATCATTGCTGGGTTGACTTGAAACTAATCGAGAGCAATTAGCACTTTGAAATTTTCTTGACTTAAAAGTTATTTCCACAAAAGGGTATGAAATTTTAATAACTTCTAATTTAGAGCAATTAGCTATTTGAGTCTTCATCCTGCTTTAGAAAATGCTTGATTATAAAAGCATTGAAAATTTAATTTAAATCGCATAAAATTCCGATTTTTTTCGACTTAAAAAGTGACCATTTAGAAACTTTAATGAAAATTTTCTGGTTTCAAAAAGACTTAATTCTGAGATCCCTAAAAATTTAATTAAAATCGCATCGAATCTTCATTTTCTTGAACTTGAAAAGTAAGCAATCTTACACAAGTGTAGTTTTTGCTTTAAATTCTCATAACTTCTGATCAAGACGCGTGCAGGAGCTGGACTTTTTGACACTCTATAGAAAGCACTTGAGTCTGAAAATCTTTAAAATATCGTTCAAATCGTAACAAACCCTGATTTTTTTGGACTTGGACTTATGGTTTAGAAAAACTATATTTTTTCTGGTTATAGCACCCAGGTGGAGGCGATCTGATTACCGAATATGCTGGCAAGGATGCCACCAAAGCATTTGATGATTTTGGACATTCCTCTGATGCCAAGAAGCAGTTGAAGAAGTACAAAATTGGAGAGATTGTTGAAGTAAGCTGAATAACTGACTACACTCTTTAAATTTCATATTACTTCTGGCTTCTATGCAATTATGGCTATCAATTTCAAACTCTTTGCAGTCAAATGTTAAATATAATACCGTTAAACTACTGATAAACCAGACCAATTCCCAGTACTAATTACTAACACAATACATCTACAGTACTTAGATTAAGTAACAAGGATTATTAGCGAGAAGCTGGATGATTTATATTAGTCGCAGCGTTTCTATCATGGATGTTCTCCGCTGATTACCAAATCGATTGTTAATTATTGATTGATCAATTTTAATTATCCATAAATATGTCTGGATGATTAAACTTCACTGCTGAAATGTACAATCTGAGACTCGCTGAAGGTATCTACAGGGTGTCCGTTTTTGGAGTTCAACCATGGGGATCTCGGTAACCATATAAGATACGAAATTGGTTGGAGTGTAGAGCTTACTAAAATGCTCGTTAAAATTAAAGAAAATTTCCTCCACTTCCGGAGATATCCGGAAAAAATGGAAATTCGAAAAAAAAAAACGTTTAATTTCCTCCTTAACTTATTTGACGCGGAAATTTAAAATGAATAATACTTCATCATGGCAACTTCTTCTCTTCTACAACGTGGCCATGTTGTATTTAAAATGCGACTTATGGATTCTTGACAACCATCATCAACTTTATTTTCTCTTATGGGCGCATCTTGGATTTTTACATGTTTTAATTCAGCCTTTTTTCTCTGATTACCATGATCATATGTTAAGGTCTTGCTGATTGGTAAAAATAACAAAAATCCTGTTTTTGCAAGGAGTGCTTTGGAATGACACCTACTCTTTCGTTTATCAACAGATTTTAGACAGTTTGACTAAATTTAGCTTAGCTTCTCCTAGAGTTTCAACAATATTTTTGTAATTTTTTGTCAAAATGCCTTATGCAAATGAAGAAAAACGAAATATGATATAAATTGATTACGCTTCACACCAAAATGTGCAAGTTACTTCGGAAACATATCTACAGCGGTATCCAGAAAGACAACAACCAGCCCAGAAATGTTTTCTGTTCCTGCATAAACATTTAGCCTAGTTTGGCTCATTTTCTACGCCTATAAAACGTGTTCAAAAACAAATGAGAATAAGTGGAAATTTTACAGGCGTTGAGTGAAATGTTAAACTCTCATCAAAAGTAATAAACGGTATTAAATTTAATTTTCCATTAGATTCAAGCTTATCCTTCTACTTCAAGAGCTATAGCAGCAGAAATTAACGTACCTCATCAGGCAGTGTGAAGAGTCTTAAAAAAACATAGATGTTGTCCGTTTAAATTTCATATAAGCCAAGTTTTGCATCTAGGAGATACCGAACGGAGGGTAGAATTTTGTAGAAATATCATGACATTGTGATGATGCTCCACCACATAATGGACCATGATGGTGCTCCGCCACATAATGCTTGAAGGCTGATTATTTGTCAGAAATATTTCCCGAGTCATATTCAACAATGGGCACATACCTTGGCCGGTACGATCACCAGACCTTTCCCCTTTCGATTATTATTTATGGGGAACTATGAAAAACAACATTTATAAATCTATTACTCACCGATATTAATGACCTGCTCTTCACAACGTTATGGACCAAAATTCGAACAAAATACGTTTTAAGATCACTATAAAATTTAGAAGACTGTGCTCGGAAGTGGAAGGTGAACCATTCGAACACCTCTTATAATTTTCTGAATTTACTGGTTTCTCAAAGTTTAGTTTCATCCTATGTAAATTTATAATACACTTTTTTCCTTTTTTTACTATACTCAAAAATTTTTTTTGTTATTTTCACCAACCAGCAAGACTGAACCTTAATATATGATACGATATCGTAATAAGAATATAAAACTGAATTCAAAAATGTAAAAATCCAAGACGGCGCCCATAAGAAAAAACAAAGTTGATGACGGTTGTCAAGAATCCATAAGTCGCATTTGAAATACAACATCGCTACGTTGTAGAAGAGAAAAAGTTGAAATGACGAAGTATTATTTATTTTAAATTTCCGAGGCAAATAAGCTAAGGAAAAAATGCAAACTTTGTTTTCGAATTTCGTTTTTTCCGATTATCTTCGGAAGCAGCAGAAATTTTTTAAATTTTCAATAGGAATTTTAGTAAGCTCTAGACTGCGCAACTTTGCCCCAATTTAATCAATCTCGTATCTAGTATGATTACCGACATCCCCATGGATGAGCTCCAAAAACAGACACCCTGTATATTATTAATATTGGGGTTTATTAAATTCTAGGAGCAACGAAAAGGCAAAAAGAAAGCGGAAGTCAAAACTGTGCCCCCAGAAAAACCGGAAACACGGTGAGTACATATGAATTCTTACGATAACCAGATTCTATCGTAAAAACTCAAAAGAGATCTGTAAAATTGGAAAAAATTCTCTAGATACATCCACTTTTCGCTAAAGATGTTACTAAAATTCGTCTTTCTGGGTTTAAAACGAATACAATCTCTAAACTTTTTTGCTGCTTTTTTCAACTATTTGTGCATAATCAAGGTAGATCTTACAATTTATTCAAGGAAATTCAAGGAAAAAAAACTAACGGAAATCTAAAAAGAATTTTGATACAAACAAATAAACTTTCAAAGTAGATGTGTTGCATTCCAAAACACCTCTTAATAAACTACATTTAATATTTTATTTCCAGAAGTTGCATCTCAATCATCACCTGTGGACTGTGTGCATAACAGCAGGCAAACGAAAAGATCAAAGAAACATTCCTTAGTTAAGATTCTAACTGTGATTTTTATTAATTTATGCGGGCAAAAATAGAACAATTTCCAATTCGAAAGTGACATTAGTTTTGAGGGCTTTTACTAACGTTTTCAGTGACAAAGCGATAATTACTCAAATAACGTCACTGTAGCTAATTCGAGAGATCGAGGGTTTATAGCGATATCGAACACGTAGGATCGTGGAGCGATTATGAAACCAAATGAATTGGCGAGACAATTAGATTTGCAATAAATTAGATAATTTCCTCGATAATCATGTACATTGATAACCATAAGTACTATTGTAAATGTGTGGGTGCTATTTAATCGCTGATAATAAAGGGTTTGTTAATCACTAATCAAGTCGATGTACATTTACCAGATCAAATTTAGAAACAACACAATACTGTCTGGTTGTCCAGTCAGTTAAATATTTCTAAACCTAAACTAGTTGTTACCACATTAACCTTAACATTATATTAATCAACTTTCCAATAGATTATAATTTTTTTTTGTGCTGATTTTTTTGCCTGTCTAATATTCGGAAGGCTAACTTTCTGTCTTTTTAATCGTACCAAAAATTCCATAAATTGTTCGGTTAATGAATATGACTTTTCGGTTGAAAACCGCATTGCGAGCTTCAAAAATATGTTTTAATTATTTATTTGCCCATGGGATTAATAAATAATTAGCCAACTGCCCGATACATTACCGCATTGCTAATGGTTGAGGTGTTAAAATCAGACCCAAATTGTCACAGATGCACTAGCAGGAATCGTTGATGGACATGTTTTTCAATTAAAAATTGTGCTGATTTATTGTAACCCAAAACATACACAAAGCTATTGAGACGGGTTAGTGATGACGTGCTTTTCTTTATTCGAGTCTTGTAACGTGGATTCGTTCATAAGCAGTTCAAATATTGTCAAGCGGATTTCTGAAAAGTTTTTCTTCTTATACAGGGTGTCAATGTGTTATACAAAGTAATGGCACAAAACGAAATGGTGGATTCCTGAGGTAAAAATATGATGATTTAATACAACTTACCTTTGTCCAAAAGTTGACGTTTGCCGACATACAGGGCGTCAAAGTTACATTTTTATTTCAGTTTTTCGTTATTCTACTTTGAACGGAGCTGCATATTTTAACGAAATTGATATACAGGGATTTTTCAGCAAAAGAAATCCGAATCTATCATCAGATTTTTATCAACTTGAAGAAAAAACCACTTACGGCGATATCTGGGCAAAAAAATTGTTTTAACTTTTTGGTCACCCGATATTCCGACTTCTAAACTGGTTGGGTCTAATCGCCTATTAATTTTGTACAAAAAAGATATTCTTAGTCGATGTCCCAACAAGCCTCTGTTTCCGAGATATTTGCGATTACACCGCAAAATGCAGTATTTACAAAAAATAAGCAGCAATAAGTAAGTGAAAACATATTTTCTAAACATCATTCTTTAACAGTAGGATCTTTTTATCTTAATCACTAATAATAAAACATTCATTTTCTACAGCAATTGCTCAAAATATCCCCCGTTAACTTCAATACATTTTGAACTGCGTTTATTGAGGAATCGTCTAATTTTAAAAAAACATATTTTTAAACCATTCGGCGGCATTCATTACTTTATTTATCAACTCATCTCGGGTGTCTACCGTTTGATCGTACACTAATGATTTTAAATAACCCCACACACAAAAATCTAGTGGGTTAAAGTCAGGACTTCGCGCCGGCCACCGATTTGTAAAATGTTGGTTTAGGTAATTACTACTCTAGCAAAATCGTCCTCTAATAAATTCTGTACCGGCGTAAAATGGCAAGGGTGGAGATTTTCTTGCTGAAAAATCCTACGAACTGAAGACTTGCTTATGCCAGTTGCAGTTTCCAATCGTCTTGTGCTTATTTCTAGATTTTCTCCAACACGAACCAGAACGTTTTCTTCTGCTCTTGCTCTGGAGTTGAAATTTTCGGACGTCCCAAGATATTCTCTTTAGTCCTAAAGCAACCAGTTTACCCTAATCGACGGTAAATGTATCCGAATAACTTGAACTACGGTTGCTTCTTGTTGGGATACAATTCTAAGAGAATTCAAAATTGATTTATTGCATAGCTTAATCGGGTTGTAATTAAGTAGGGGTTAGTATAAAAACAAAAATTGTGCACCAGATTATGACAAAAATAGATTGTATACATTTTATTACAAAAAAAAGCGAAAATTCAAAATCGATTTATTGCATAGCTTAATCGGGTTGTAATTAAGTAGGGGTTAGTATAAAAACAAAAATTGTGTACTAGATTATGATAAAAATCGATTGTATCAATTTTATTACAACAAAAAACACAGAAAAAGAAGTTACTCAGACACTCGAAATAACAGCAATTATTTTTTTTCAATCAGTGACTATAAGTAGTGCAGAGCCAACTTTTTAAATAAAAATCCGATTACGGCGGGCATTAAATTCATTTAAATTCTTTTACTCAAACACGGTGCGTTGTAGAAAAAAGTCAAGAGACCTTTTCTCTTCCAAATTGAACAGGAACTTGAAAACTAATATTTATTTTTAGAAAAAACAGTGGCGTAACATTTTTTGTTAAAAATTATCTACAGACGTGCCTGTGCACACGCCACTAGAAAATCTAGAAACAAAATTTTTATCACAAAACATATATTGCTGTTAAGTGCCTAAGTCCATAAAATTTCATTAAAATATTCCAAGGGGTTTCAGGAAAATTACAAAATATAATTTTTTAAATTAATACTTTAACACGCTGTAGATCGGAGACTAAGAGTTTTCGGACTATGGTATATTAAAGAAATATATCCAGAATTACGTGCACTGTCACCTCCTACAAGGAATGCATCTACTTACCAAACGCCCTGTATATCGGTTGAGAAATTTGTCAGGCGATCAGCTTATCTCTAATTTATTATTAAAAATTACACAAACAAAAGCAGTCTTAGGAAAATAAAAACAAGTTCGCACTCAACAAAGTTTAACCAAGAAGATGCTGGTAAATCAAACGAATACTTCAGAAATCAAACCCCAAAACAGGCAGGTTAAACAGAGTATTTATTACTGCAGCAGCTTTTCAGTGGACTTTCCAAATTCTGCTCGAATTTAAATTCAACCGGCAAAACCCCCAATAGGGGCCGTGTAATTTAAGCGAAGTGAGCTACAAATTATTTCCTAATTTCTTTCCATGCAGCAGCCGCATGAATTGTTTCGGTTGGTATTAATTTCGACTCGAATATCTGGAGCGCACCTGTTGCAGCCCCATCGCAATGTAGACGTCGCATGGAAAACTCCACGAAGGGAAAACAGGACTTTAAATGAAACGTAGGGCACATGAAGTCTTCCTATGAGGACGTTTTTAGTTTATGGTCGCCATTGGAATGGTTCCAGACATTGGAAAAGTTTAAAGTCTAATAAACTTGCAACGTCTAGGGATCTGGATTTAAGATATTACAAGGCGCAATCCGGTTAAAAAGGGACATACTTTCATCATTCTTGTCAGAAGATACATAGTCATTATTAGACATAGAGATTATTTTTCAGAAAGTCGTAGAAAAAACATTTTAAAACTGCATTTACTTTATATCGTTTCGGCGATTAATTGAGGTAAAACTAAGTATTCTTAAATGCTTCCGCTCATCATCTAAAAATCTTTGATTAAGCAAGAAAAATTGCTTCATGTGTTATACGTTCATGCGTCATATGTCATCTCAAGTCCATTATGCTACGCGAAGAGATTATTCCTAACTAACAAACCGTCATTTCCATTTGATCCCAGATTATATTCCTAAAGGCAAAATTTTCCGGACGGATTCCGTTGATCTTTGAACAAAACCACACTAAAAGCGTCACGTATTTGTAAAGCCGACAATCTAAAACTGTTTTTAGGGCTAGATTGAATTTTGAAAATTACACAAAGCACATTTTCTTGATTTAAAATTTAAGACTAATTTAATGAGTAAAATATTGATTTTTTTAACGAATAGATAAGTTGGAGGCGAAAAACTTTCCATATCTGGAACATTGTGTTACTAAGCCTTCGGTTTGAACTCATTGATAGTGTATGCATATGGATATTATGTATATAGAATGTGAAAAAATCGTTCAAGGCATCTTTTATCGGTTATTTTGAAACGCTCCTAACATACGCCATTTTTCCAAGCTTCGAAAACTTCAAAATCTGCAAAGGTTTTTTTATCAACACATAATCTGTACAATAAATATTAAGCCATTTCGAGTACTGATACAGTTTTGTAAAACCGAAATATAAAATTGTCTGTAGGTTTTAGCAAAATGCTGCTTATCTTTTTTTTAACCATTTTGAACACTGTACAATTTTACATTTTCCCGAAAATTTTGCAATTTTCACTGCTCATTAAGAATAGAAAGCCTGTGAAGGCTTTCACGGCCGGTTAAATCACATTTAGGAATGTTTTCCGGGCTTTGAAGCCGTGGTCTATGGGAATTTCCTCCTGACGTTTCGTCCACAACTGCGGTGGACGAAATATACAGGGCGTTCTTTTTTCTAGAGGCATAGTAATAGAAACATTCGTTACATTTTTGTGTATTTTTATTTGAATTAGCTTACAGCCGATAAACCTCAATTATTGTAAATTAAATTAAAATAAAGAAAATAAAGTTTAAAGTTAACTCGTTAGCCAACCCTATTTTAACTTCAACTTGTACTTGAAGCGTTCACAGAAAAATGTGAACAGAAGGACACAAAAAATATATAAAATAATTTATAAAAAATCACCCAGAAACCCTACATGAACTTATATTTGTGCAAATAACTCGAAAACTAAGACAGATACGAAAAAAACTGCAAGTGATCAGAAAATTATTAAATTGAACAACAAATGCAAAGCTGTGTTCGGTCGAAGTTAGTGGAGCACCACAAAAAAGTTCGGGAGGGGAAAAAGAGTTACGCCTTTAGAAAAAAGAACACCCTGTATATTTTCACAACAGGTCCCCCAACCTACGGATAAAGGGTCTAAGCATTAGCTTACGTTAAAAATTTGAGCAAAATATCTCATAAACTGTAGGAGTTAAAGAGATTATTTCACTCATCCATAGCAACGCCATAGGGCAAAAAAGGTATTAATAAACGGTAATTCGATAATTTTCAAAAAACTTACAACGATAATTTCACGTCGTCATGGAATCATAATAAATATCACTGTTGACTGATTTATTTAATGTGATTGATGTGAAATATATTCTCAAAAATTAATA